AATATAATCGTCCGATAGCTGTTAAAATTATTCCAATGAAAGCTCATTATATTATTTACAAGAATTTTGCTTTGGAATTTTCCAGAAAAAAAGTTAATCGCTATGGAATTCGAGCGTGATAGTGTGATTTCTTTATATTTGACTGGAAAACCACAAGTGGCTATCGTTAGAGCACTAATTTGCAGCATTTAAATGTGAATAAATCGTTTGTGTCTCGACCATCGCTCGTTACCGTGATACTGGTAACGTAGCCCGACGTCAAGGAAATGGACGGAAGGAAACAGCAACATCAGCAGAAATGCTTCGAAAAGTAAAGAAGCGACTTGATCGCAAACCGCGTCGCAGTGGCCGAAAAATGGCTCGTGAGCTGAACATATTGCAATTTTCCATTCGGCAAATATTGAAAATGAGCTTGGGGTAAAGCCATTGAATTTCCAAAAAGTGCACGAACTTACAACGCAACAGAAAGAAAATAGATTCAAAAGAGCTGCCATAACAATCTATGGTCGCTCTACGCTCGAATTAATCAGAGAAAATGCTGAATATTATCGTGAAAATATTATGGAGGGTGTATTAAAGCCTTGGGTGCGGAAACATTTTTGGCGCAGACCTTGGACATTCCAACAGGACTCAGCATCATCGACTGGACTATTGTTTCTGAAGTATTTTGGAAAGCAAGGTTGGTCACCTCAAGCAAGCGCTTCGCCGGGAATGGCCAAAATGCCGCAGAGCAACATCGACGGCAGCGTGTGATGGTTTCATTGGCCGTTTGAAGACCATAATTCCAATTTCAACAAATGTAAACTTATTCTAAAATTTGATGCTATTTCCGACATTTTTTGCTTTCATTCAGTAAAAATTTAAAAATTATGGCGTTTGACTTTGTTGCAGTTTTTTTTTATCTCACCAAGTATACCCAGTATAAAAGAGTAGTGAAAAAACTGACTGATTGACTGGCTGACGGGCTGACCTCGAATCAATGGGCAGGTAGAACGGCTGAAGCAAGAAGCAGTCGTGGTGTTCAGCCGGGCTGGGTTTCTGGGAAATTCGTACTAAAGTGGTAGGAAAAGCACTACAATATGCTACAAATTGAATACTTAATATTGGACAAAGGGAATTAGCTAGAATTTGGAGTAAGAGTCACTAATGAAGGGCAGATAAATGTATCAAGTTTTTTTTTTTTTTTTTGTAAGTTCGATCTCGTAACTGTTCTAAACTGGCACTAAACTTCTAAAATGGTGCCCAGTTGCTATTATGTGAACAGATAGAGCTAAACATTTGAAATTTTGTATGAGAATCAAGATTGGAAAGTGAGTTTGATATATGAAGGTAGTTTTGGAAATGAGTACTAAATGTGCGAACTGTACTAAATGGTACTAAGTTTGGTATATAATGAAAGGATGAAGTTGGAATTTCAAAATTTTGTATACCTGCGATACCTGTAGTACTATCTTTGGTACAATTTGGTATTGGATGAACAGATAGTGTAAAATTTGGAGTTGATTCCGGAAATGTTTAGTATAAGTAAAGTACTAAGTGGTACTATATTTTTTAGTTGGGTGAATGTATTATGAAATGTTATATTTGTTATTTTTGATGGTATCTGTGCTTCTGAGATTTGGGGGTGGTTTAAAAATGCGAAATGAATACTCAAATTTGATATTGGGGTCTCTGTTGGTGTCTGAAATTGATAAATGAAGGTGGTTTTGGAAGTGTGTTCTATAATTGTACGAAAAGTACTAAATGGTATTAAATTTGGTATTGGGTGAAGGAATAGAGCTGAAATCCAGAAATTTTAAATGTCACTGTTGGTGTCTGTGGTTACTATATTAATATAGAAATGCGTACTATATTTATACTAATCTGTACTAAATTTGGCAACGAGAACAATTACAGAGCTGAAATTCTAAAATTTAATATTGAGGTCCATTGTTGGTTTCTAGGGTATACATATGGAGACGTTCAAATAGTTTTGGAAAGAAAAATTGAATGTGTGACCATTGTGCATTGGTTTTACTAATATCCTGCCCGGTAAACTTCAAAATGAAAGATTCTTAAGAAATTTTTGTGTGAAAGGTTAAACGTTATTTTCCTATTATTCTTTCGGAAAAAGAAAAAAAAACTTGAATAATTAATAAAACCTTAAAAGTCTGAAAAATTTGACTTTTCGCTAACGATACAGGACTTGTAAGTATTTTAAAAAAATCCAGGATAATAGATCCTGAATATTCTTCATTTTCGTCCGGTTTTCTACATGAAAATTAAAAGATTTCTTCAGTTTTTCTATGTAGAACCATCTTTAGAATTTCTATGAGAAAAGAAAAGAACGTAAGGCAGATATTAGTTAAGCGGGCAGTTTCCCTAGCTTTTTGAGATAGCCCAGTAGTTATACGTAGCATTTCGAATTGAAAAAAACCTGGTCGCTATTCGAGCTTAAAATGCTTCAGAGGACTCGCACTACAAAGACAGTAAGGGAATAATTTTTCATAGCAAAAAAAAAAAAAGAACTAAACAAAATGTTTCAGATAAACAGGTTAATACAACATCAATACAAAAAATATAACAGCAAACAATAGCAACAACATCAATACATTATTTTTTTTTAATTTTCGGGTTACACGGTGAATTTGTAAAGATTTTTTTTATTTTTTATTTGAAAAGCTTACCTCGACGGGTATGTATTCTACTAGCAATAGCTTTGTTTTTGTGTGTGTGTGCGTATTAATTTTTTTGGGGGGGTATTGTTGCAGAAGTGAGAGAAAAGTATAAGAAGGATAATATTTTACAATAAATTTTGTGATTTCATTATTATTGTTGTTGTTTTTTGATAATTTAAGTGATAAACGCCCAAAGGAACCAAACAAAGAAAGGAAACGAAATAAATAAAACGAAACGAAACGAAATGTCGTGTGTTTAGATTGAACTACAAAACGTGATTGTTAAAACGGTGATGTGGGGGGGGGGCAATAATAAATAAAATAAAGAAAACAAACCTTCCATGGTTCAATGGATTTAAAACATAAATCTAACTTAGCAACAAAAAAAAAACAACAAATAACATCCCTTTGAACCGGAAAGTTAACAAAACCATGAAGAAAACCCATTATGGAGACAAATACCGAAAGAAAAAAAAACAAAAATAAAAAAAATACATACCTGGAATCCGGCTGGCAATGGATCATGTTGGATGGTTAACTTAATATCATTACCAGGCTTGAGTAGCTCCATTACAGCCTCTTGATGAGTGGCACGTGAGACATCGGTATCATTAACTTTAAGTATACGGTCACCCATACGTAATTTGCCACATTTCGAGGCAATGCCACCAGGTACAATCTGAAATTGGATAAAAGTCGAAAACAAAGAGAGTTGTTTAACAAATTCGAATAAAATGTCCCATAAATAACAAAATGACGACATAGATACAGATATAAAAAGGAAACCATAATATATTTTTAAGGGACATTCATTTGTAGGAAGAAATCGGAAACAAAGATATTTTGATTTGATTTAAAAGAATGATTTAAGTTATTTATCTTTTAAGAAGTAAACTTTTAAAGGTTTGGAATTACAGGAACCTGTTAATTTTCCAGTAATTTGAAAACAAATTTACTGAATGACATCAACTTCAAAATTTAAAAATTAATGATCTCAATAATATTGATAGTATTCGTATTTGAAAAAAAATTGAATTTTTGAAAAATCAAAGACAACAAAAAAAAACCTTTGGGTAAGGAAAACATTTTTATATAGAAGTATCTTAATTCAACCGTGTTCCACTTTAAACAACAAATACCAGTAAGACCGTTTGGATAGTGTAAATACAATTTTTCAAAAAAAAAAAAGTGAGTAGGTTCATTACTTGGAGGTCATTCCAAGAAGGGGTACGCATTTAGACAACTTTATACTACAAGGATTGTTATCTATTGCAAGTCTTAGATACCAAATTAAAAAAAAAAACGGTGGGTAAATGTGACAAGGCTTATTAAAATACCAAATATCAGTGGGTATTATATGGCGGCTATAGGAAGCATGGACCTAGATATTCAATATTCTGCCACTGGAGCGAAAACCCATTAAGAACTACAAATGCTAATTTTTAGCCGAATCCGTGGATAATGTGACAAACATCATAAAAATACCGAGTATCGGGAGGTACCCTTATATGGGGGATATACGATAATGTGGACCTATACATACAATCTTCTGATGCCTGAGTTAGAAGCCAAATTTTAGGACAAATCCATGGAAAAAAAAGTGACAAAAATCATCAAAATACCGAATATCGGGAGGTAACGTTATCCGGGGGCTATACGAAAACTTGTACCTATATATGTAATGTTCCGCCACAGGAGCTAGAAGCCATTAGCACTACAAATACCAATTTTAAGACAAATCCGTGGAAAAAAAGTGGCTAAAATCCTCAAAATACCCAATATCGGGTATATACGAAAACGTGGACCTATACAGGGTGATATGAACTTCAGAATGCGGTCACGTCCAAGCCACTCGTCCGACAGCTGTTAAAATTATTCCAGTGACAGCTCATTATATTGTTTACAAGTACATTTTGGTGGGAATTTCCAAAAAAAAGTTAATTGTGATGGAATTCAAGCGTGAAAGCGTGATTTCTTTATATTTGGCTGGAAAAACACAAGTGAATATTAATGTTAATAAATCTTTTGTATCTCGTACCATCACTGGTAGCGTAGCCCGACATCAAGGAAGTGGACGGAAGAAAACAGCAACATCAGCAGAAATGGTTCGAAAAGTAAAGAAGCGACTTGATCGAAACCCGCGTCGCAGTGGCCGAAATATGTCTCGTGAGCTAAATATATCACAATATTCCATTCGGCAAATATTAAAAAATGAGCTCGGGGTAAAGCCATTGAAATTTCAAAAAGTTCAAAAACTTACACCGCAACAGAAAAAAATGGACTCAAAAGAGTTAAAGAGTTGCTTGGCCGAAAGTGGTGAACTGCCGAATCTAGTTTTCTTCGATGAGAAAAATTTCGTTGTACAGCAGTTTGTAAACAAACAAAATAATCGTGTTTACTTGCCAAAGACGTCAGCTGAAAATGTGCACGTTCGGTTGACCACCAGAACTCAAGCCCCTACCATGGTGATGATGTGGCCGCCATAACAGCCGATGGACGCTCTCCGCTCGTATTTATCGACCGTGACATCAGAATAAATGGCGAATATGATGGCGAAAATATTCTGGAGGGTGTATTAAAGCCTTGGGCACGCAAACATTTTAGCCGCAGACCTTGGACATTCCAACAGGACTCAGCACCATCGCATCAGCTCGCGCTACCCACGAACAAAATGAGGTTCCTCGCTTTATTGCAGTGCACAATGGCCACCAAAATCTCCGGATACCAATCCGTTGGACTATTGTGTCTGGAGTATTTTGGAAAGCAGAATAAACACCAAAGTGTCGACCACCTCAATCAAGCGCTTCGCCGGGAATTGACCAAAATACCGCAAAACAACATCCGGGCAGCGTGTGACGTTTCATTGGCCATTTCAATGCCATAATTCGTCCCAAAGGAGACCAACTCGAACAAATCTAAAGCGTCATTGAAGCGTCAGTCCAAGCAGATTTTTACCATGAATCAATACATGCCACGCGAAATAGTTGAAATTTACATTCAACAGAAGAAGTCAATTGTGAAAACTCAACGTGCTTTTAAAACATTAAAAAATTTGAGAAGTGCGCCTTCTAAGAACACCATTAAGCGTGTATACGAAAAATTTTCGACTGGTAAGGCTCTTTCTAATCCGAAGAGGCCATATAAAAGTCGACCAAGGCGATCGGCCGAGAATATCGCTGCCGTTCGAGCCAGTGTTGAGAGCTCCCCAAGAACATCCAAAAAAACGCCGTTCTCAACATGACATGACTCGCATTCGCATTGATTTGCATTTGCTCCCGTACAAAATTCAATTGACGCAAAGAATGTTGCCTGCGGACAAGCATCGTCGATTGGAATGGGCCCAAATAGTCATGGGTCCGTCGAATATGGGCAACCCTGTACTATAATTGTACGAAAAGTACTAAATTTTTGGGAAATGTGTCCTATATTTTTTATGAATTAGTACTATTTTTTATGGTACTAAATTTAGGTCTAAAAGATACAAATTTTATATTGAGGGTTCTGTTGGTATCTGGAATTTAGATATGAAGGGGGTTCTGCCAATGCGTACTACAAATGTTCGAAAAGTACAAAACAATACTTAATTTAGTACAGGGCTGAAATTCTGAAATTTGGTTCGGATGACATTGTTGTTGTCTGTGGTTACGATATGAAAGTGGTTGTTTGAAATATAATAAGTGGTACTGAATTTGGTATAGGGTGAATCCCGAAATTTGGTCCTGAGATATTTGGGATTAGGATATGGAGGTGATTTCGGAAATGTGTGCACGAAAAGTATTAATTGTACTAAAATAGGTATTGGATGAAGGAATAGAGTAGAAATCCCGAAATTTGATATGAATGTCACTGTTGGTGTCTATGGTTGAGAAAGGGATCTGTTTTTGAATATGCGTAATATAATTGAGCTAAATGGTACTATCCTGAAATTTTACATAAATTTGTTAGTATCTGAGGTTGAGATATGGAGACTGTTTTGAAAACGCTTACCATAATTGTTCGCTAAAAAATGTGGCATTGGGCGAAGGGAAAGAGCTGAAATCGTGACATTTTATATTGCTGCTGTTGAGATCTAGTGGTGGTTTTGCAAATGTGTAGAAGGTATATCTGTTCTATTCAGTTTTTCTTCCAATCACTTGTTGTGTTGCACAATGTAAGAATTCAAAGAAGTCACTGAATCCATGTCTGAAACTGAATCCCACGTTTTAAAAAAGTTTAATAAACTATTTTCACCTGTCTGGTTGCCTGGCTATGGCTCTTGTTGCCAATGGTCGTGTTAAGGTATGTTTAATTTTTATTCAACTTTAGCGCAGTAAAAGCAAAACATTCCTCAACTTTAACATAAACTTCAGCATACTTTTACTTGATATTATTTTTTTAAAGGTATGATGTATGAAAGCATTAAAAAAGCCGTAAAAAATTGTGTTGACATCAAATTAAAAAAGTCTGATTAATAATGGTAACTGGCTTCTTTTTTGTTTTATCTTTCCCTCTCTCTTTTGAAGGAATCTTCTTTTCTAATCAAAAGGTAAATTAAGTTTTTAAGAGTTTTATCCAGACAAACGTTAATTAAACTTGTTTAGAGTGGAATATGATTGTGTCGTGAATTAAAGAAGAGTGGAATTTTTAAGAATTTTTATTTTTTTTTAAGAAAATTAGCATTTAAAGAATCTTTCAGAATTTAAAGGGATCTGTCATTATATTTAATAAAAATGTAATCAGATAAATTTGATTGATACCATTTAAAGCTCCCATTGTCAAATAATGGATCTCCTTGGCAATTTTGGCATTCGTAACTACTAACAAATCAACCAACTAAACTATTTTGTTTACAATTACACGGCAGTGTAATTAATCTAAGAATTAATGTAACATTTTTAGACAATCCACTTTTTTACTTTGTTCGCTGCTGGAAATAGTTAAATAGTTAAATATACTATACAGGGTGAAAATTCAACGCGATAATTTTTACAGTTGTTTCTTTTTAAATTTAATTGAATGAAAGCAAAAAATGTCGGAAATAGCATCAGGTTTTAGCAGATTAGATTTTTTTCGAATCAGTCACCTTTGGCACGAATTATGGCCTTCAAACGGCCAATGGAACCATCACACTCTGTCCGCATGTTGCTCTGCGGTATTTTGGCGCTTGCTTGAGGTGATCGGCACTTTGGTATTTTTTGGTGTCAACCTTGCTTTACAAAATACCCCAGACACAATAGTCCAAGGAACCTCATTTTGTAACCATTCTTGGGTGGCGCGTGCTGAGTGCGATGATGCGGAGTCCTGTTAGAATATCCAAGGTCTGCGGCCGAAATGTTTGTCAAGGCTTTAATACATCCTCCAGATTATTTTCGCGATAATATTCGGCATTTATTCTGATGCCACGGTCGATTAATTCTAGCGGAGAGCGATCATCGGCTGTTATGTCGGCCCACACCATCACCATGGCCGGGGCTTGAGTTCTGGTGGCCAACCGAAGGTGCACATTTTCAGCTGACCTCTTTGGTAAGTACAAACTGCTGGACAACGTATGTTTTCTCATCGGAGAAAACCAAATTCGGCAGTTCACAACTTTCGCCCAAGCGAAGCAACACTTTAGCTCTTATGAGTCTATTTTCTTTCTATGGCGGTGTAAGTTCTTACACTTTTTGCAGTTTCAATGGATTTACCCCGAGCTAATTTTTCAATATTTGCCGAATGGAATATTGCGATATGTTCAGCTCACGAGCCATTTTTCTGCCACTGCGACGCGGGTTTCGATCAAGTCGCTTCTTTACTTTGGGAAACATTTTTGCTGATGTTGCTGTTTTCTTCCATCCACTTCCTTGACGTCGGGCTACGCTACTAGTATCACGTACGAGACACAAAAGATTTATTCACATTAAAATGCTGCAGTGCTCTAACGATAGACACTTGTGGTTTTCCAGCCAAATCACACTATCATGTTTGGATTCCATCACGAATAACTTTTTTTCTGGAAAATTCTCACCAAAATGCTTTTGTACGCTTGTAAACAATATAATGAGCTGCCACTGGAATAATTTTAACAGATGTCGGACTAGTAGCTTAGGAATGACAGCAGTTGAAGTTTTCATCTCGCCCTATATGTATTTACTTGACGGGGTTTCAGACGAATATTTCTAGTTTTACAAAAGAAAGGGCAGAAAATAAAAATTCCAGAATATATCAGAACCTGATTCACAGTGAGCGTTTCTAAACAATTTTGAAGAATATAGAAAAGTCAGATTTGACTAACCTACTCGAACCAGGAGTACCATTCATATATGACCATAATGTTATACCGCCCCTAAAAAGGAATTAAATCTCCACTTTTAGAAGGGAAATACCCTTAAATCTCTCTACTCCAAATTTCCACATGTTTTTATTTATTTTTTAAAAGTTTAGAAAAGTTAATTTCTCTTCCATTTTCGCCGACTTTTTTTCCATTCTAGTTGAAGAAATTCCTTAGTTCGGATCTTTACCAGTTAAATAATTTTGTACCATCTTCTACATATGCAGTTGCCCTCTTTGAGGATTATATTGATGGATAGTTTATTAATCTATTTGTTGTTAAATTTAATTTCCTGCATTATTTTTGTGAATAAAGGATATCAAATTTTCCTCCGTTTTAAGAACGTTTCAAAAATTGACAAATTACCATAAATTAATAAAAACATAAATATATACTTATGTACATTAATAATTAATACTTACATGTGATATAAAAATACCCGGTTCTCGTGCGCCAAATGGTACACATGAATGGTCTGTGCCGCCAATTATGCTGAAGCCCAGAGATCCTTGATTTTTGGGTAATACAACTTCCTGCAAAAGGAGAGCAGCACGCACGCACATATCGGCACAAAGGAGAAACGAAACAAAAAATAATAAAAACACAACAATAGAATTAATAATTTATTACAAGATATCAACAAATGGCAAAATAAAAAAGATATTTGAATATGTTGTATATACAAAATGTTTGATATTATGTGTTTTGTTTTTCTTCGGTGGAAAAGGAGTGGTGGTGTGGTGAGATGGTGGTAGTGTGAGGTGGAAAATGTGTGTGAACAGTAGAGAGAGAAAGAGAGAGAGAGCGAGTGAGAACGACAGGAAACCAACCAACAGTAAAATATTTTTTGTTTTAATATTTTAAAAGCTTTTTTCTTTTTATACAATAGCATATCCATACATATAACAAACCAAACATACGTATACACAGAGACACAATGAATAATTAAAAACAAAACCAAAAAGTAATGATACAAAGTTACGAAAACAAAAACAAAATATGGAAAATGATGAAGTTTTTCAAAAACCATCTGCTCCATATTTGATTTATGGCAAAACATTTAAGAACACAGCAACCAAACAAACCAACCGCCAACCAAAGAAACAACCAACCAATAAATAAATGAGCTACGGATATTAACTACTACAGAAAAAGCTATTAACAAAAATCATATGAATACTGCCAACAACATTAACAAGAGGAAAATATTGAAAATAACCTTCACCAAAACATAATTCTTAAGAAAAATTTTGGTGGAAAAATAATATTTAAAAAATTTAAATGTTTAGATAAATTAAAACCATTACCAAAACTTATTAATTTTCTAAAGGATATTATTAACAAAGCCTACCTAGTTTGGCACCCCTATGTAATAGAAAAATGTATAATACACTCCTTTGCATTTTTCTACATAGATTAAAAGGTCAGCATTTGTTTTGGTATATTTAAAATGTACAATAATTAAGGCCTATACCTAATATTTGTAACCTTATAATTCCAAAATAAAATTAGGTAATAATCACTTCAGTTGGTTTTTACGAGCATATCTATGACGATACGTTGATTAGTTAAATTTACATGAGTAAATTCGATCCACAACTTTGAATAGAAACATGTATTTGTAAATAAATTTCAAAAAATTGACCTGGTACCAGGCTACGTTCATGAAAAATATTCTGGGGTAAACAGTAGATTCTCCATATAAAGAAATACTTAAACACAAAAAAAAAAAAAACATTTTAGCCCAGAAGAAAAACAAAAGTCTACGGGAATGACCAATTTTTAAATATTTTTTAATTATCTAATAAAACCTTCTGCTTAAAAATTAAAAAAAAATCTAAGGCACCTTCGGGTCTTTTGTAAGAAGACTTTCGAGCTCTTCTGTGAGAAGACTTTCGGCTCTTCTATGAGAAGACTTTCGGCTCTCCTATGAGAAGACCTTCGGGTCTTCTATGAGAAGACCTTTGGGTCTTCTATGAGAAAATCTTTAGGTCTTCTATGAGAAGACCTTTGGGGCTTCTATGAGAAGACCTTTGGGTCTTCTATGAGAAGACTTATGGGTCTTCTATGAGAAGACGTTTGGGTCTTCTATGAGAAGACTTATGGGTCTTCTATGAAGACCTTTGTGTCTTCTATAAGAAGTCTTTTGTGTCCTCTATAAGAAGACCTTTGGGTCTTCTGTGAGAAGACATTTGGGACTTCTATGAGAAGACATTTGGGACTTCTATGAGAAGATCTTTGGGACTTCTATGAGAAAACTTTCGGCTCTCCTATGAGAAGACCTTTGGGTCTTCTATGAGAAGACCTTTGGGTCTTCTAGGAGAAGACTTATGGGTCTTCTATGACAAGCCATTTGGGTCTTCTATAAGAAGACTTATGGGTCTTCTATGAAGACCTTTGTGTCTTCTATAAGAAGTCTTTTGTGTCCTCTATAAGAAGACCTTCGGCTCTTCTATGAGAAGACCTTCGGCTCTTCTATGAGAAGACCTTCGGCTCTTCTATGAGAAGACCTTCGGCTCTTCTATGAGAAGACCTTCGGCTCTTCTATGAGAAGACATTCGGCCCTTCTATGAGAAGACCTTCGGATCTTCTATGAGAAGACCTTTGGGACTACTATGAAACATTCGGTTTTTCGAAGAGAAGATTTTCTTATTGTTGTCTAAAAGGAAAACCTATTTCTTGTCTTAAAAAAATTGCAGGGACTCTTATGAGAATATATTCCGTGCTGCAATGACAAAAACCTCTACAGTTTTAATATGTAGTAGATCTCCACATGTTTGCTATGGAAGAATTCAACAGATATTTTTGTGATTACACCTGAACAAGTATTCTATGAGATCACCTCTACAGGTCTGCTATGATGACGTCTATAGGAATCCTCATATAAAACATTTCGATAGGACCTCATCATCAGGTTAACTTTTAAAAGACCTACAGGGCTGCTATGAGCAAGTCGGTTTTCTGAAAAATTCCTGGAAAAAATTGTTCAGCATCTGAAAGACGTTATGTTCTTCTATGAAAAAGGAAAAAAACTTTTGGCCTCTTAGAATAACACATTTTAATCTCTTGCGAAAAATGTCACTTATTTGAAGGGAAAATCAGACCAAAGCTATATATTTTTATCTGATGCCAAAATACGTCTGTCGGGATTGGAAACAAATGCGTGCTGTGAGAAGTGAGGGAATCCAGCCACTAAGACATGATGGCTGTCATATTTATTAGTATTTTTTGTCTTCTGTGATAAAAAATTCCTTATTTTTTAGCCTAAAATATAATTAACTGTAAGATACAACAAATGCTTTTATGCGAGAACTAGAAAAATTGCATTCTCTTTAAAAACTTGTCAATAAAAAAATAGCCCAGTAAAAAATAAACACAATATTGCAAACTCCAGTGTGGCTAATATCGTGATTTGAATGGCAACCATCTACTCTTGACATTTTTAATAGACTTTCGCTGAGAAAAGCAGTTCTCGCAAAGCAAGTTAAGCATTTCTCTCTTTTACTAGTTTTACTATTAAAAAAAGTACGAAGACACTGTTGCTTTTCTCAATAACAATTTTTCCCTGAAGATGACTGTTGAAGACAGTCCAAATATCGGAAAACAAAAATCAAAATTATAAAAATAAAACACTGATGTTTTCAATTGACCTTAAGCCAACATAAAGTTAATAAGTATCATCAATTGTATGAAAAGAAAGATACATTTTCCTCCCCATCATGAGGACTCATAATGTATATTTACAGTAGATAAGTTTTGAAAATTATGCTAAAATTTTTAAATCCTTGAATCTGGAATATACTATTCACAATTACTGTGATTAAAATTTCGTACTTTCTACCACGTCCCAAGTGAAATTACACTGGCAAATACCTATTCCGTAATACAACAACTGCTAAACCAATTTAAAATATTGTATAAATGCCAATAAACGGTCCATGTTTTTGTTGTTGTTACCTTTGTTCTTCTAACTGTTTTCTATGGCATAAATTAATTCAATTTAAAGTAAATTGTCTATGGAGTATGGGAGGGCGGGGTTTTGTGGGACGACTACCATTAAATGGTGTTAAAATAAAAACATGAAGATTACAAGGAATACAACCAACCAACTATACATATCCATGTGTTCTTTTTTTGTTCCAAAACACAAACCTAAACAAAATCAGACTAATAAACCCCAGTATTCACGGAAAGAAGAGGCAACCATAACGAGAAATGAACAACATTTTAAAATCCATAAAAAAAGAGCAATACACAATCACACACACACATACATATACACATAACTCCGCTTCTCTTTCCCCATGGGATGGTGTAATAGAGATGCGAACACATGTACATACACATTTGTATTACAACGACAATACTGCCATGTAGTTAATGGTTGAGAATGAAAACGAAATGTATATATGTGAACCCAAAAGATTTACACTGAGCGAAATTTGAATATGGGATTAATGGTGTGAATAGAATTTGGAGTCTAGATACTCGGATGCAGAATGACAGAAAATAATCTTTCATGGAAAACTAATGGGTCTTCTAACATAAAGAACTAAAGGATTCCAACAAATAATAGACCATCCAAACGATCTTCTATATATGGACGCCATACAAGAGCAGTGTTAGGGAACTTTCATTTATGGATGGTCTGGAAGCTGTCATTTAATGGAAAGTCAAGGAGATTTTTCGAAGATTGAAAATCCAGAATTCTTTTATGGATATATAAGTACATATAAATGGAGATGAAAAAACTGCAGCAAACTTTAGACTGCTGTCATTTCCAAGCCACTCGTCTGACAGCTTTTAAAATTATTCCAGTGACAGCTCATTATATTGTTTACAAGCGTACAAAAGCATTTTGATGAGAATATTCCAGAAAAAAAGTTTTTCGTGATGGAATTCAAGCGTGATAGTGTGATTTCGTTATATTTGGCTGGAAACCCACAAGTGGATGTCGTTAGAGCACTCCAGCATTTAAATGCGAATAAATCTTTTGTGTCTCGTACCATCGCTAATTACTGTGAAACTGGTAGCATAGCCCGACGTCAGGGAAGTGGAGGGAAGAAAAAAACAACATCAGCAGAAATGGTTTGAAAAGTAAAGAAGCGACTTGAACGAAACCAGCATCGCAGTGGCCGAAAAATGGCTTGTCAGCTGAACATATCGCAATATTCCATTGAAATTTCAAAAAGTGCAAGAACTTATACCGCAAGTGAAAGAAAATACACTCAAACGAGCAAAAGGGTTGATTAGCTTGGCCGAAAGTGGTGAACTGCCGATTTGCTTTTCTCCGATGAGAAAACATTCGTTGTTCAGCAGTTTGTAAACAAACAAAATGATCGTGTTCACTTGCCAAAGAGGTCAGCTGAATATGTGCACCTTCGATTGGACACCAGAACTCAAGCGCCTGGTAATTGTGTGGGCCGCCAGAACAGCCGATGGTCGCTCTCCGCTCGCATTAATCGACCGTGGCATCAGAATAAAGGCCGAATATTATCTTGAAAAATATTCTGGAGGGTGTATTAAAGCCTTG